AATAAAAACAAGACATTTAACACTGCAAATTTCATTTGATAAAAAAAATTACCAAACTGCAGATGCTGCATTAAAAAAAAACAAACCTTTGCTGCTTCCAGGAATTAAAAAASAAGAACAGCAGCCAGGAAGAAGTAATCAAATTCACTACATTAATTGATCATCAGTTAGTCTGGGGACCTCTATAAAAGCAGACATTTTGGCAGTGTGCCTGTCTGCAGCACGTGTGTGTGCTGTATGTCTTAACATAATTCCAAAGAGACAAGACATAAGTGATGATCTTGGAGAAGCAATTGTCTCTGTCCATCAATCTGGGGAGGGTTATAGTGGTATATTATAATCAGCAACAYTTGAATGAAATGCTCAGAGCAATTGTCATTCTTCTCAGCAGCGGACATACAAGCAGGTTCAGACCAAGGTTGGATGTGCAATGTAAAAAAATAAATAAATAACACCTCTATCTCAAGCAATGCAGGCATTAGTTACCATGGATGGTGCTAAAAATATGACTGTCTTGTCAGAATCCAGATTTTTTGTTTATGTTTGTTGGTTGTTTTAGTTCAGTTGTGTTCAGTTCATTTTCAAGGTGCCACCAAAATCTTTTTCCTTTGTYAATGCCTTCCATAGTCCACCACCCTTGCCCATCCACACCTGTCTTTCATCCTTCACCAGCTGCAGTCACTTCATCCTCAGCCTTTTTATTCAGYCAGTGTATATTCCTTCACCAGTCTGTCATTGTTGTGCTTTAACAAACTAGTTATAACTCTGTCAGTGCTGATAATGACCTGAATGATGTGGTAATAGTTGGAACAGTTTTTTAACATCAACATGCTGCATTGTTAGTATGCACATTTATTTTTAAACTTTACCATTTGTTATTTGGATTCAGCTGGATCAGTCTGATAGTAAATATATATTTTTGTTCACTACTCAAATTTCACTGAAAAATAAATAAATAAATAAATAAACAAACAACTTTACAGCAATCTTTTGAAGTGAAAGCAACATGGCTACCACAGCCAACAGAGAAAAAGAAGCTAAACAATTATTTCACAGTCACACGTTCAGACATTGTGCTGGTTGTCAGCTAACAATCAGAATTAACAGAAACTCTAAATAYGACTCATTGCGCCAGATCTTTGGATACAACTTAAGCAATAATTATGTCAATTATGTCTGTTTTATAATCAAACCACTGCATAGATTTTGAAGAAACGTTTAGAAAATATGTAGCCGATATGTACATTTACAACTGATTAACTTGTGAAATCCAAGATGACTCCTCCAGCTAAACCACATTAACCAACACAAACCTGACTAGAACTACAACCATTTTACAGATATTGAGACAAAATCATATGTAGCCATAATATAGCTGAGAGTCATGTGGGTGGTGACATTGACCAAGCTCACATTTTTAAAATGTTTGACCAAACTTGTTACGATGCTGTCGTTTCTCAACAGAAGATGAACTTTTAGTTTTAAAAATAAAATAAAATAAAAGATGGTGGAAGTTATGATTGTATTTTTATTGTATTTTATTTTTGTTCTAACAATCTCATACTGAATATTACCTGACTTGAGTTATGAYTGCACTGTCACTGAAATGTTTCCTCACAGTGGCTCAGATTGCTTACAGCTKTCATAGATTGTTTCACAGTAATTCCACCTATCAGAAAGCAGGAGGCAGAAGAAAATGAATGGGAAGGTGATTTTGTTGTAGGTACAACACGCACCAAACAAAGGCTTAAAAAAAGTACCTTTCACCAACAGCTGAAGCAGCATGGACGCTGACATCATATCACTCCCACATCTCCCTCTCTTGATTTTAGCCCCACCCGCTCTTTTCCATTACCAAGTCAGTCTGTGTCCCTGTGTTATTTAAAGCCAGAGATCCTCCCTCTCGCCAAGCCACTGTGTTGCATCTGTCTGCCTCGCTGCTTGTGTGTCTCCGTGCGCGAGCGAGCGCGCGCGTTCGTGTGTGTGTGTATGAAAGTGCGCTAAAAAAGCCAGGCAAGCCAGTGGGAGAGCTAGAGAGAAGGAGAGAGACACAGCAGAAAGACAAAAAAGCATCTGAGAGAAGGGAGCAAGAAACGGGAGTGTGAAACAGCTATGAAATTCATCCAAGCTGTTTGCTTACTGCTTCTCTTTCCAGCTTTGAGCATCAACACCAGGTAGGACAGAAAACATTAGGAGTTTTATCTCTGTTATTTATTTTTATTTTATTTAACCCCAATAGAGTCTGAAACAAAAGGTGGTTCAGGTCCAAAGCATGCCTTTTATTTTTGGCAAATCTTGGATTACTAACCTGGAGGTCTGTTCAGTCTTGCCGAAGACTGAAGCCTTATTTAGTCCTGGCAGAGGGTCTCTGTGTGCTAAGCATGCTGGATAAGACTTAAAAAAGGAGGCARGAAGGGCTTATCTATTCAACTGGGCTATTATCTTTCTCAGTTCGGGGCAAGGATGAGAGACAGTTGTCCTTTTGTGGTGGTAATTCACTGGATCTGCCTCCTCCAATCCCCGCTGAATATAGTGGCGATATTGCTTTTTAAATTTTTTTTTTTTTTTTTAGTGGGGACTTTAGCTGCCTGCTGGTCGGGGGTGGAAGTTGAAGTGACAGGAACTGGGAGAAAAGGACAAGGCTACTTGTGTTGCAGTGCATTAAAGAGAGCAGGTGCTTGTGTGTGCTTCTGCATACATACTTGTCTGCAACATCAGCTTTTAAAATGAGGTTGAAGGTGGAGTGACGGGAAAAAAAAAGAAATAAAAGAACAGGAGAAAAACATGTGAGGCGAGGAAAGTTAATGAGTCACTATCTCATTGATAAAATCATCCTCTTTCTTGGTCAGCACCTGACTGTCTTAATGAGACCTGTGAGACGCGATCTGATGCTTCGACGACACCGTYGACACAACGCACACAGGGAAGGCATGCATCTGAAAACTTACCTTTCCATGTAACCCCCTCATTTCCACTAACACTTCAATGCTGTTGTCATCTCTTTGTGGTGAGTTAGAGGAATGCAGTTGCTGAGCAATGCACACAGAATAATTGCTCTGAAGTCCTGCAGCTTCTGTTGAGAAATATTTTTTGTGAAATCATAAACACAAGACAACGCAACAAAATTCATTGCTGTGCTTCATCAGTGAAACGTTGAAGCCTACGTTTAAAATACTTGTCAATAGTATAATGATTCTTAAGCCATATCAACACAGCCTTTATTGATACGTTGGGTTCTAGCATTTAGGAAGGCAGCAAATGAGGCACCTCAAGATCTTTACCATGTCCACAATTTACACTATCACCAAACAAACACAACCACAACACACAGAAAGTCTTGCATTTCTGATTTGTCTTAAGTTTATTGGATGTTTTGTTTGCACCAGTGCTCGTGTGGCATTTAAAATAATTGAAATGCACTCTGCCTCGCAAGCCCTAAGCTTAAATAGTGTACTGTCATCATCATCATCATCATCATCATCATCATCATCATCATCATCATCATCATCCGTCGAGGTACTAATTGGAGAGGGAGGCATTACGCTGGTAATTTGACAGGTCAACACAGATTGTTTGTAACCTCTTGAGGGAGAATGTCATGAAAAGTAATTACCGGACCACACAGATATAATCAGTGTTTTATTAGATGGTTTGTTTCTTAACTCGGGATGAAAAATAGTCTGCTCAGAAGGTTGTGTTTTTTTTAAGCCAGAGTGTTTACAACAGTAAAAACAGTCACACTCAGAAGTTGTGATTGTTTAAAAACAATAAAAAACATGACTTCTTTAACAGATTTCTGTTGCCATAAATGTGGATTGTGTCATTGAGAATGATGATGAATAATCAGCAACATTGCAATGCTGTAAAAATGAAAATATGTTTGGGCAAACGTGCACGTCATAATTATTTTTCTCAGCTTTCATCCATGCAAAGACACTTGTTCTTGAGTTGTTTCTATTCTATCTACATTTGTTA